AAAAGAGAAAAATATTGATATTTATGTATGCTTTAATTATTGAATACAAGCATTTGACATTGAAATGTAGGACTGAAAGCATTTATATAATCTAATATACATACATAGAATAACCCATTGATTGGATATATGTAGTTAAATTTATAACTAGTAAAAATTTTATTCATCAATTTTATATTCATAAGACCCCTTTAACCTACACCTAGGTCGCAAGTCTCAGTCACTGGTGAAGCTCCTCTCCTTACAACGATGGACCCGGCAACCACACGGTGAATACATTGAATATAAAACGTTTCGTCTCTACTTATATAAAAAACTAGTTTTAGCCCGCGATTTCATCCGCGTTAATTTCGGCATTAGTAATATATTTATAACTGTAGGCCATAAATAACCAAATTTATTAAGTATTTTGTTTTCGATCAAAGAAAATTAAATATCCTTTGTCCATCTCCTGGTTCTAAGCTATCTCCTCGTCAATTTTCGACCATATCCCTAATGTTCTTGAGTTATAAATAGTATAACTAACACAATTTTCTTTTATATATATAAATAGATATACCTAATACCTATCCTTTGTATTGAAATAAAATCTTTTATATATAGAATGTTTGTAATTATATCTGTCTAGTCAAGTTAAATTTTATTTTCAACTAGCCCTCATTGGTTTGTTAGCAGTAAAATTTGTGTAGGATTTTATTTTCTAATCTCGTGTATCGTATTTATTTAGCAATTCGATATAACCAATTTCGTCGCCAAGACTGTAAATACAGAAAGCTTAACTATCAACAAATACTTGGTTTCATATAAATTACAAAGAAACGAAATATATGAAATCGTAAAGAATTCAATCATTCAATAAAATAAGTCTATAGTATAATCTAAATAATATGACTAAGTATTCTTAGATATTTTTAATAAATTGAGAATTAATATACCTTGTTAATGAACATTAACGAACTTTTCTAGGTTACATCAAAATACGAATTAAGTATACGTAGAACACGTACTACTATTAATACGTAACGTAATACTGTTAAATATATTTAATCAAAATTAAATCGATCTATTTTTATCGATATCAATAGACATCACTATGTTCACTTAGTAATACAAAAACATCGATATAATGAAAACTTTCTCACCTCCATTTCGTCTTATATATGAACTTCTTTTGTTTCGTGTTTAAAATGATTGATTTATTCTGCTTTATGAGATCTAAGATTTTCGCGATTTAAATGAAACTAATTTTTTTCGTATATACTACGCGACATAATTTTTAATAAAAACTACATAGTCCCGACGTTTCGGCTACCTTTCAGCAAACGTGATCACTGGCAGACGAGATGTGAGTGTCTTTATTAATAAACAATATTAATTTTGCATGTTTATTAAGGTTATTATTAAATTTAAACATCGAATATTTTCAGAATGGCGATGGCGGGAACTTAACGCGCATGCGAAAGAACAGCTGGAACAGCCATATTGTTATACGATTTATGTGCTTGAGTTTTACTATTACGTCCACAAATACTCCTTTTAGCATGAAGGTTATACACATATAGAAGAAACGGACTTAATATTCTATAATTATAATAACTACTTCGAGATTTCAATATCTTATTACTTAAAGCCAGTACATGAAGATTTTAGCAATTAGTCTTGTTTTTATAAGTAGCGGTAATGATACAAATATAGGTGTATAAAGGTAAATATACTATATCAATGTCTTAAAAAATCTAAACGAAAAACTTACATATAGTTATAATGTATGATATGCACATTACATGTACACCTATTGTACCCACTCTGTTTTAAGAGGCGAAAACTATTATGCTATGAAGTATATGGTATTATGAAGTATACTTCACGTAAGCAACGTGAAGAGGATGGGATACAGAGAAAAATATATGGAGAATAAGTATACGAAGCTATAAAGTTCTTATAATACAAATATTACACATATATACGCACATTTAGCTAACTCACGTAAAGCAAACAATGTTTTTGATATATAAAAGTAGCTAATAAAAACGAACGAAATTATCTAAGAACTTGAAATGATTATCGATTTATTTAACAAAACACTATCAAGTACATGTTAGGGTTCTTAGCACGTGTATAGAGAAATAATCGTTAAATTACTTACGGGTGACTGCTATGAATTCGATGGATCTTTTTTCATGGACTGCGCTCTCTTTTCAGCGAACTCAGCACTTAGTCTGTGTGCCTTCAATGTATTTGGTTTAGACATCTCAATTGTAGTAGATAAGTTGTGAACCCGAAATTGTTATTTATTATTAACACGGCAGCGTTTGTTGAACACAAATAATTAATTGTATCGATTATCGTTATTGCTAAAAGGTAATGGTATATTCGATAATATACAGTTAATAAATGTACTGTTTGACTTAATAATTTATGACACGGAATATATGGATGCACCTTTTTGTTTAAAATAACAAGAATATTATGTATTTACAATGTGAAGTTGCTGCTTGTTTAAGCTTGGTATTGTATAACTTGAAGTTGGTTCGCGCATGCGCAAAAGTGTCCTCAACAGTTAGGGTGACTTCCGTATTATTGCCAGATTGATAAAAAAAGAATGCACATCATAGAGAAATATATTTTATGACTATGATAATATGAACGGAAATGTTGTGAACATGATGCATTCAATAGAGGAACGCATGAGAATATTATGCAAGGATTTAAAATTATTGATCACATACAAAAATAATTTAAGAATAATATGTATTAATGTGGGTTTTAAATAAAGTTTATAAGTTATAAATTATATTTTATACTGAAAGAAGGAAGTAGTAATGTATTTATCTTCGTTTGAATATATTTTACAATCCATAGCAGGGTTCGAAATTCGAATAATATAATCAAGGATTTTCAAACGACCAAAAAACTGGTCATTTTCAAAACTATTAGATATTGTTAATGCAATGATAAAATTGCAAAGATATTTTTAAGTTTTATTTATTTCATTATACAAATGTGTTTTGTCTAACTAACAAAAAACTTGAAGATTATAAAGTTAAAATTCTTTATTTAGATTGTTTTGATGAATAGAGCACTAACGAAGGTCTAGGTTACTAGAGTTGTTTAGTGAAAATAAAAATAAAATTCGTGTCAAGTATTACTCGACTCAAAACACAAGTTCAACGAGAAAAGAGATCATATTCGAAAGAGGTTATATACTTTTTATATATAGACTTATAACTCGTTTTTAAAAAACCAAACAGATTTATATTAAGGGGATTATGACCTAATAAATTAGTTTCTATCAAACTAACTGTTGTTTCAATAAAATTAACGATATTGTTTTATGTATTTTAAAATTCTATAAATATAAATAAGCTAAAATATAAAAGGAATAGCCGTTAAAACATCTAACCGAATGAGTCAGAATGCAGCAGAAAATCAATAACACTCTAGGAGGATCGGCGCTTAGCAATTGTGTGCTAAAGTATCGTCAGCAGAAAAAATAACAATTTATATTTTAATATAAATTTAAATAAAGAATTATTAAAAAATTACATCAATTCTTCCTTCTTATTATACAATATTTAAGTTGGTTTTTTTTTGTTATTATTTTTAATAATATTAAAGTAAAAATTAATATGCAATTAGTACATGTAAATCCACCCTTCATAATCCGTGAGCGTTCTCGCTCAAATTTAACAACTGAACTGTTCTAAAAAGGGTGCTTATGTTTGACAACTCGCTGAGCTTTAAACATTTGTTTTATCATAATAATAATTATTATTATTATTCATATTTTTATTATTTAATTCTAAGATTTTTTTATATGGCAACATTAGGTAAAAAAAATAATGAATCAAATTTTTTATTATTTAATTTTAATTTTTCTTATAGGACAACATTAGTAAAAAACTTATTAATCAAAAATCAATATTGACAGTTGCGTATGTTATGTATTTAGTTTGAAATGACAGAAACAAAACTATTGTTTGTATCTGATCAATACTACGAGTAACGATCATATAAAAATTAACAAATCATTATGGGTAGGTACATGAATTTTTTAACGGTCAGAGACAAAAATAAATAATTATAAATCGATTCGAATATCCTTTAATAGCTTTTATTTAAAACGACAATTAGAGTCGTCATATTTTAATAGATAGCTTTATAAAGTACGAATTGTATGAAAATTTATTCTAATAAATAAAGACTAATTTTGAACTTTTATTATGACAAAATAATTACTATCACTTTCTTTGAATGACTTTTCAAGGGATATGTACGTGGCCCACGAAACGTGGCCCAAATGACGAACAACTTCTAAGTAGCATTAGGGTATAAATAAATCAAACTTTCTGACCCCGTAATTAAAACAGAGGCTTTTATCGAACGAGCGTTATGGAATTAATCAACAGGAATTTAAATTAAATTTATAATGTTACTAGAATTTAATATCGAAATTACTGAAGTTTACGAATTCTTAATTAATATAAGTATATTTTAAATTTCTAATTCGTTAATCAATTCATAACGAAAGTTTTGTATGTTAATGTAAAGTGCTTAATTTATAATGGGATATTCATTAAAATACCCAAAATAGTTTTTAAATGAAAAAATTATCGGATAATTTTAGCAATGACGAAGGTACATTACGTTCTGTCATTTGCAACAAAAACAAGGGTTCTATCGTTTTTTGCTGACCTTTCTGACTTGCAACTAGTATAAAGGTTTTCTATAGCCCTTTTAAGCTCGGGATAAAAACAGGCCCTTTGAAATAATTGTGATGAGATTTTTTATCGAAAGCGACAGAATCCATTGCTCTTTACGCGAAGAATTTTGAATGGTTTTTCAAAAGTTCTGATTTAATAATAGGAGACACAATATTATGGTTGTAATTTTAACAACGTAAATTTAAAGCATACACTTTCATAAACGTTTTAAAAGTGTTAACGAAAAAATTGTTTTTTTACAGACATATTTTAAATGAAAATAAAAATATAATTTACCTTATCCTCCGCTTCTTCTGCTCTGCCCTCAGCTTCCAATACCCGTTGTTCGAGCTCGGAGAGCTGAAACAATGAAAAATATTACTTTCTACTCCTTATGCTGACTAAAATTTTAATACAGAAAGCATATTAGTTATAAGTAAAAGTTATACTAGTTACGAAAAAAGTTGCATCCTCGTCAACGTCATAAACTGTTTGAAAGATGAAATATTTCTCTTTAAGCTACGTGTGCTGCCATCTAGTTTCATCTTAGCTAGAAATCACATTTTTTTGAACCAACCTTGGCAAGAACCATTTTAGTCGGAGTGTTCACTAAGCGATTTTATCACCACCCGCTAGATGGCGTTGTATCCCGCGCATATTTTATTGAACCACGTGGCTAACGTGGTAACAATTATAGTTATAGATGTACACTTATTTGTATGGAGGACTGATGTTGGTATTGTTATGTAAGAGAATATTTGTGCGGTTTCTAAGGCAAAGGGTGTGAGAGGGTGGAAGTAAAGCTTTGATATATGTATGTAAAGCAAGAAATTAGAACGTGTTTGTAGGTTTCATTCACTGAACATATGTAAGTACGTGGATAAGATTGCCTGAATTTTCATTATTACTACGAAATTATTATATGTAAAAATTAACGCCGTAACTTGCATTTTGCATGTGAATATAAGGACGTGACAAAACGATATCTTTATAATAATAAAAGAATTTATCCGGACGATGTAACATATGCTCTCAGATCTCCAGTTAACGAATTCACAAATAAAAATACACATTTCAAATGCAACATGCGTCAAAGAAACGAACAGCAAAATTCACAACGAAATCCATGCATGAAAAGAAAATCTGTAGTTTTAAATATCAAGTCTGGAATAATATTTCAGATATTGTTACATAGAGATTTTAAAATACAAAAAGCGATACATTTTGTAAAGCAAATATTTTCTAATATTTTTAATAAAGAATTATTTCAACTAGTTTAATTTAATTACAAAACTAATTCAGCCGACCATTTCGGCAGACATCCTAAATTGACAACATGTGTTTATGACATAGCAAACAAATGCACAATTAACGATACTGTCCAAGCGATTAATGCCCTTATTGTTCAAAGGATACGTATTAGAATAGCTTGAATGTATTGTATAGCAGCGTTTCTTGTGGGTCACACATAGCCATTACAGCGTCTAAATAGCGTGAACTGGTCTTTGATATATCCAATCTCGAGCTGTCGATAGCTGAAACGTATGTTAGGAAGAGGTCTAACAATATCTGTCTGTGGGCATCGATATATGGATATTTTTCACTATTATTTTCTTTCCACTTAAAGATTTATTGAAAAAGGAAATTTGCAATTCTTGGTCTCATTGTGGATGTTCTAATTTTGTTTAATAGTTTGTTAAAACATCGCTAAAATTTCATATGAAGGAACAGATAACGAGGAAGAGATTTCTCTTCAGGAGTTGCGCAGACAAGACATATTACAAAATTATTTCACTTTTTAAGATTCTCATGTTCAGTGCTTGGTTTCAAGGAAATAAAAGGTTATAGTGTTATATAGGTAACCTACATTAACCATTAGGTATACACTATGTCCGTCATATACTGGTTACTTGAACGCAGGCGTATAGTTCGATTCTATACTTATATATTTTATGTTGAAGATGTATTCGGAAAAAGAAGTCAGCAAAAAGGGACGTTGGATCAAACTTAATTGGATATAATTTATGGGCAATTATAGTTTTATGGGCGCAAAGCAATAATAGACGTTTAACGGAGATGTCCTGATAAAATATTACATGGTGTGGACAAATAGGAAATTTTATTATCACTTTTATAATGTCGTATACTTAGCGAAATAACATTAATGTATCAGAAACTGGAATAGGATTTTATAGCTCAAGGGTTTGTAAGGTAAAGTTAAAGTAAGATTATTTAATTAATAATATATAATGTTAGCTAAGTGTATATAATGTATTGTTTAAGAATAATGTATATAAATGTATATAAAATTTCCATAACTTAGTTGTTACAAAACATAAAACAGTTCAATTTTCTGCATCAGAGCAGAGAAATTGGGGGTTATTTGGGGGTCGTGTTGGGGGTTGGGTGGGGGTTAGATGGGGGTTGAATTTTCGCCGGACATGCCTTTGACACTCAGCTGAAGGGAACCGGTGAACTGAACTAAATAGCTTCAAAACGTCTGAAGTAAATTTCGGGGTTTGTATTTCCTTTGATCGTTGTTTTGGTACACTTGATAGGTCACAAATATTTACTGACCATATAAATTGTGTTTAGTTAACTATACTTTTACATGGCTTAAAATAAAGATAAACAAACAAAACATTTTCAAAACCTTCTAAGAACATAAAAACATGTACATAATGACGCATTTTCTTTATATAGATTAATAGGACTATAAATAAAATACATTGGACTAAAAAAAGACTATTTATAATTTACTATCAACTATCACATATAATACAAACATACTACGATAGTCCACATAATTGCTTCCCTCGTGAGCTATCCACGACACAGTAATTATACTCTGCTATCCAATTAAAAGATCAATCATAATTCCTTATACCGCACACCAATTATGTCATGGTATGCGTTAACAACGGTTCATTTAATATTAGCCAAACTATTAAATGATTGCTTTCATTGCTCCTCTATATTTAAAATCTGTAGACGAACCTGAAATTATATTCTTCTCAATATATCGTAAACGATAGTACAAATCCGCGTAAGTACCATTGGATAATTCTGCGTATCTACGTCCGAAGCAGGTTATCAGAAGAAAGTTTTCTATATTAACGACTTTTAAGGTAATTTTTTCACAATTAGTAATATTTTAAACACTAAATAATTACGCGGATTTGCACTATCCCGATGATATTATAGTAACCGAATATTTCTTTGTTGATTTTAGTTTAGAAATGGAGAGATTTTAAAACAACCCTCATCTAATATTTAGCTTGAATATAAAAATTGTAATTACTTTATGATAGTTATTACTCTTATATAATTTGACGTAATATAATTTGATTTGAAAACTATTTAAGGTCATGAAAACGTCCGTCCTTGGTGGCGTTTGAACGACAAATGACCTTCTCCAGTGAAACGGACTACTGCCATCAAATATTAAACTACCCTTCGTTTGTAACACTGAGAATAATAACTCACTTTAATATAACGTGTTTATGATATAAGAATTGTATCAAACCTGAAGATTTTAATTCATAATTAGATTAAGGCTTAGAAAACCCTTTTTTATAGACATACTGTATAAAGATTTTTAATAATTCTTAATTGATTTGTATTTAATATATAGAGGTAAACAATGATTTATGTATATTTATATTGTGTTTATCTATATATTTAAAAGAAAGTCATGTTACTTATACGATTTATAACTCTTGAAAGGCTGTAAAGATGTGGTTGAGGAGATGGACATAGGATATTTAAATCTGTTCGATCGAAACAAAAGAAATAAACTAATATCAATAAAAAAGATTTCGCCCGGTCAGCTATACATATATTATTCATTTCGAAATTAACGCGGACGAAGTCGCTTGCAAAAACTAGTCTAATAAAAATAATCATAATATTTTAACACGAAAATAAAAAATTGAACATTATTTAGAAGTATGAAAAGATGTTATTTAATCTTTTAAACCCTTAATGTTCTTAACAGAGTTAGCGGATTATTATCTTGAATCATTATAGACTGATATAAACACTGAAATGACTCAAGTATGTAATTCAACAACTGCGGTAAAGGAAACCTACGTAACTAAAACCTTTAAATTATTTAGTATTTACTAAAACTTTGTATTTTTCATATAGCACATAATTATTTTGTTTTTTTCTTCGAGTTGTTCTGTTTTCTAGAGTTTCTATAAGACTGTAGCAAAATTGTGACGTATTTTTGGTGTTTGGATGAATTCATATTGAATAGCACTTTTCAGTATCAATAATAATATTTTCATAGATTTTAGATTTAAAATTTTCAGTTATCTAAATCTAGTTTATAATATTTTTTATAGTTTCACGCTTGTAGTTTATGAAATAAAAGCCTCTGTAGCTATCGCTTATTCAATATAAGCCGTACGTGTATATTGACACGTTTCGATAATTAGTTTACATTGAAAAAAGCTTTTAGATAAATCCTTGCAATATAGATACGAAAAAGTCTAAACCGATTAATTCTCGGTAACAAATGAATAAGAAAAATAAACTTCCAAGATAAGAATAATCATTTGAAATAGACTGTACTTATATTACCTCAGAGTAATAATAGAAGAAATGTATGTTATATATTTAGTTATGTATACCAAAACTTTTTAAATATTACATCAAAATTACCTCAAATACGTAGTTTTTTTTCATGTTTTATAACTTCTCCATAACTCAACCGTTTCTCCACCGGTAGCCATAGATTATATAATTCAAAGTTTCAAGTCCCCCATATATAATGTTCAACATTTTGGCTCTAATCTAATTTTGAACAACGAAATTCCCGAACGCATTGCGTTGCAAAATTTTAGTGAAAATCACGAGGCTTTGTTTACACGACAATTTTCAGGCCATCGGATTTATTATATCCAGTTAAGCATGAAAAACCGCTTGTTTATTTTGTAATATATAATATTATTTAGGAAAATAATATACATAATTAGGTTAACAAAATCTAAATATAACAGAAAAATAAAGAAAATTTATCCAAAATTGATTTATGAATAGATTATACATAATATGATCTATCACTTATAATTCATATTTATGAAGAAATGCGAAGAAAAAATAAGAAATTTCTTATAATAGTAATGAAAAGAAAAAACTTTATCTTTTAATTAATTACCTTACTAAAAAAGATAATGGGATCGAAAAGAAATTTCAGCGGTTTTTCAATAGTTATGTCTGTGATGAAAAGGTCATTTGAATGTTAATAAAACGCGATATAAATCGAGATATTTTTGTATCGCAATGAATAAAATAATCATTATTAAAGCTAGAATTCCTGTTTAATATATAGAGTTAAAAAATAAACTGAATAATTTATTTTTTCAATATATTTATTTTGATTCAATAATAATTAATTGATACTTACTTTTAACGTAAGACCTAAAAATAAAAGACTACGCATCTTATTGTCTTTTTAATTTCATAACTAGCATTTCATCAAGGATACTGCCATATGTGAATTTTTGCCCATAAGTGTAGCAATAATTTTTGACTATTTGAATGTATGTATATTTGTTAATTCCTTTATACGCGAGCAGGCTTGTAATGTTTGTATGATAACGATGATGTACAGAATCCATTTATCGTTTATGGAATACACCGTTGTTGAGTAAATAAAATCAGATTCCAGACAAGCTTTGGCAAAAAAATAAACCGTACCACGCCATATCAGAGGGTGGATTTTAAGTCATAAATACCGCAGAATGCCATGCTTTTTTGTGCAGCAAGATACTGAAGCAGCTTGAATAACTAAACGCCAAAATTTTAATATATAATAAAGTTTAAATATACGGATAAAAATAACTACACCTAAGAGATTTTAATACTAATAATATGCAGAGTTTTCATGTCAAACAAGGATAGGGATGATTAAGATTCGTCTGGAAATTATCTGACCAGATCCTACGGAAAGCAAAAATACGGATAAAAAATCCGCTGCCAATCAAGTGAGTGGCTTCAATCCATCAACGTGACGTTGCCAGCCGCGGGTAAGTTTTCATCTCCTAGAGCACGCACTAGCGATATG